ATGATCGCATTTCTAGAGCTTTCTTAAAGTAAAAGGATAGAACAGCTTAGTGCTGCCAGAGGTGAAGGATGGGCAGGGTGTAAGCACAGAAGGGGAGTGGCTGTGGCTATCAAGGGGCCACATGCGGGATTCTGGTGGTGGTGGGAATGCTCCATTTTTTTACCATTTCAAAGTCAATGTCCTGGTTGTGACATTGTAGTGTGGTTTTGCAAGATGCTATTAGGGCTGGAGCCGAGGCTCAATAGGCTAATCCTGGCTTTGGATTAGCGCGGTGTGCCGGCCGCAGCGGCCACTGGGTGGTGAACCAACGGAAAAGGAAGACTTTTCTGTCTGTCTGTCTCTCTCTCTCTCACTGTCCACTCTGCCTGTCAAAAAAAAAAAAAAAAAAAAAAAAAAAGATGCTATTAGAAGGAGACCCTGGTAAAGGGAACACAGGTTCTCTCTGTACTGTTTTTACAACTCAATGCATATCTGTAATTATCTCAAACTATTTTTGAAGACAACTTGAACTCAATTAACTAACTACATAATTCAGTACCTAAACTAGCAGCATTATACATATGTGGGAAATAGCATCTTCGTCTATCTTACACTGTGATTAAGAATACCACAGACTGGGGAATTTACAAGGAATAGAGTTGTTTTTTTTTGTTTTTTTGTTTTTTTTTTTTGGCTCATGTTTCTGTGGCTGGTGAGTCCACGAAAAAGGCATGGCTTCTGGCTGCAGCGGGACATGGCAGAAGGCAGGACACGTGTGAAAGAGCAAGCAAGTGAGGGCAAGAAGGTGCAGAATTTGTTTTTATGACAAACCTGCTCCTGAGATAATGCATCTGTCCCCACAATAACAACACTGTTTCTTCTCTCAACACTGCTGTATCAATTAAGTTTCCAACCCATGAGCTTTTGGGGACACATTCAAAGCAAAGCATTGGATAAGGGGCTATCCATGTCTGATGGTCTATTATGTAGCAATCTATGCAACAAACTAACTCAGAATACAGTGGTTTAAAACCACCACTGCTTTACTTTCTTAAACAATCTTGGTCAGGAATTCACATTCAGCTACCCAGATATTTAAACCCATGGGGGTGGATTTGGTTGTGGCCATGCACTCAATTGCATTTGGGTGATGGGTGGTTTGACTGGAAATTCAAGAAGGCCTCACTCACAAGTCACACTTTTCTTATGGTGACTGAATTTCAAGAAGAAGCAGACGAACTGGTGAACACTGAAGATGAGGTCTCCTAAGTCCCAGCCTTGTAAGTTACACTGCCTCACTCTGTCACAAATCATAAGTTCAGCTTCATGGGAAGGAGAAACAGATGCCAGCTGATGTGAGAAGTGACTAAGAACTTGTGGCTGTCTTATTCCACCATAATTGACAGTTAATTAACTATTTGGAAAAAATATTCCTCTTCGTAGGAAGTTTTATTTTACATTATATATTCAATTATATATTATATAATTTTACTTTATATATTCAATTTAAAAACATTGAGCTATTCAGATTTCCTCTTTCATTTTGTCAGTTTTGGTAAGTTATATTTTCCAAACGTTTTGGCTATTTCATCTAAGTTGTTGAATTTATTGGCAAAGAGTTATTTGTAATACTGTCTCACCATCTTTTTCATGTTGGTAAGATCTATAGTGATATCTTTTTCTCCATTCCTAATATTGTCAGCTTTTTCTTTCTTTCCTCCTTTCCATTTTTTTCTTGATCATTTATCTGGAAGTCAATTAATTTTATTAATCTCTAACAAATTTGTATCACAATTTTTGCTTTTTCTATATATCAACCTGCTTAGGGTTACTTCTTGTGGGTATTAGTACATATAGATCTATCATTTTTCTTTTTTAAAAAACATACTATTTGAGGGGCTGGCACTGTGGTGCAGTGGGTTAACATCCTGGCCTGAAGCACTGGCATCCCATGTGGGCACTGGTTTGAGACCTGGCTATTCCACTTCTGGTCCAGCTCTCTGCTATGGCCTGGGAGAGCAATAGAGGATGGCCTAAGTCCTTGGCCCCTGCTCCCACGTGGGAGACCCAGAGGAGGCTCCTGGCTCCTGGCTTCAGATTGGCACAGCTCCGGCCATTGCAAACAATTGGGAAGTGAACCATCAGATGGAAGACCTCTCTCTCTCTCTCTCTTTCTCTTTGTCTGTGTAACTCTGCCTTTCAAATAAATAAATAAATCTTTAAAAAATTTATTTGAAAGGGAGAGTTACAGAGAGGAGGAAAGACAGAGATCTTCCATCTGCTGGTTCACTCCCTAAATGGCTGCAAATGGCCAGGGCTGGGCCAGGCTGAAGCCAGGAGCTAGGAGCCAAGAGCTTCTTCCAGGTCTTCCACATGGGTGCAAGGGTTCAAGCACTTGGGCCATCTTCCACTGCTTTCCCAGGCACATTAGCAGGGAGCTGGATTGGAAGAGGGGCAGCGAGGACTTAAATCGGCATCCATACAAGATGCTGGTATTGCAGGTGGAGGCTTAACCTGCTATGCCACAATGCCAGCCCTCTACCATCTTTCTTAATTACTGCCATTATATTCCATACTATAGAGGTTCCAGGATTTATTTAATCATGGGCATTTTATGAATTTTTTTTAATACCATCAGAATACTAAAGCAAACATCCTTTATGTTTCTAGGTACGCACAACAAAGACCAGAGCCTCAGACATTAAATTGTTTTATGTTAATTTTACTTCCTTTTGTTGTTATTGGGTGGGGGCACTGACTGGCAGCAGGAACATAGGCAGGACTGGGTGCTGGCTAGAAAGAGAGAATCTTAGGGCCCATCCCAGACCTACAGTCAGAATCTGCAATGTAAGGAGATCCACAAGGAGTTTGCATGCATAATAGCTTGAGCAGACCTAACCACGTGATTAGTTTTTCCAAGTTCATCCAGCTGGTGGGTGTCTAGCCTCTTCCCTTGACCCAGCCACATGTCCCCTTACCATCTGTGCCCTTCCTATTATCTCCCTGAGACACGCCCCTTCTCACCCTGCTTACTTACAGCACTCCCTTAATAAGGCAGCCAGGCTGAGGTCCTCAGAAAACTTGCCCTTCTTCACTCCAGTTTGCAAGTGTTTGTGATAAAGGTCCAGGCCCCTGTGGTGGCCTGGCATTTCGCCTGGAGGGGCTGGAAATGAAAACCAACCGTGAAAGAAATGGAGCAGGAGTCATCAACCTGTATGGTGTATACTTGGTCTGGGTGGTGCAAAGGGTGTGTTCAGTTCGTTAGGCCACAGCCCCTGTAGAGCATGCATACTTGCCTTGGTCAGTGTCACATCTGGCCCTCTGATTGAAGAGTTCTAAGTAGCCGTTGATAATCTCCCAGAGTGAGCACTGCTCAGCCAGGTCATTGGTGAGGGGTCACCAAGAAGAAATGGATTTGGAGATGAGGACCAAGTTGCCCTTAAGCTCTAGAAGATGTGCTCTGAGAACATGACCAAAGTGTAGGGAAGCAGTGACACAGAAGGCCTGGCCCGAACAGTGGTTGGAGTGGGTGTAAGTGGAGCCCTTGAGATAAAGGTGGCAGTGACGGATAATAGGCTCATTGTCTCGCAAGGAAAACACACTTTATAATCTCCCAAGTCAACACCCAGGACCTGGTGGGTAGCTGAGTCCAGCTTGGACTTCTTGCCACAGCTCCTCCGTCCACAGCAAGATGAAGTCTGGGCCAGAACTAGCTCCAGAGATGGAGAAGACCATGAAGTCTCATGGCCTTTTGCACTGCTCTGTCAGCTTCTGGAAAAACTTGAGCACTGGATCCATTCTCTCTCTCTCTCTCTCTCTCTCTCTCTCTCTCTCCTGCTTCTTTTACCATGCAGTAGCCACAGACATCTATGAAAGCAGGCTCCAGGTCCACCAACACTTTCAAGAGCGCATCTTTGACACCCCAACATTTTTTTTAGACAGGTAGAGTTATAGACAGTGAGAAAGGTCTTCCTTCTGTTGGTTCACTCCCCTAATGGCCCCCACTTTCTACAAGTGCTGCAGGAATTGCTTCCACATCCTGGGGTTCTGTTACTAGACTGAGCATCGCTAGGCTTAGAATTTGTTCCAGGCAATAGAACCCCCAACAGCTGGGCTGACTAGCACAGCTGGAGTTCCCCTAGCCCAGACATGCTCCGAGAGGAAGAGAGAGTGGAGCACCAGTTTCTGCAGACACATCACAATCTCTGGCCACACCATGAATTCCTGCCAAAGTATTGTTTACGTGTTCTGCTCTTCCCTGGAACATTCTATGAACTGCAACAAATACAATACAAATATGAAATAGTACTATGCCATGGGGCCAGTGCTGTGGCTCAGCAGGTTCATACCCTGGCCTGAAGCGCTGGCATCCCATATGGGCGCCAGTTCAAGTCCTGGCTGCTCCTCTTCCAATCCAGCTCTCTGCTGTGGCCTGGGAAAGCAGTAGAAGATGGCCCAAGTCCTTGGGCCCCTGCACCCACGTGGGAGACCCAGAAGAAGCTCCTGGCTCCAAATTGGCATAGCTCCAGCTGTTGTGGCCAACTGGGGAGTAAACCATCGGATGGAAGACCTCTCTCTCTCTGTAACTCTGACTTTCAAATAAATAAATAAATAAATCTTAAAAAAAAAAAAAAGAAAAAGAAATCTTACTATGCCCAAGAGAACATGAGTAAATCACAGAGGAGAGTATCCCTATCTTTGAGGAACTTTCAGTGTTGGCTGGAAGGAGGCTCAATAGTGTCCCTTAAAAAGCTACAGCCATTGTACAAGGCTGAGGCTCTGAGTGCGAGAGGGATGACAGAGACAGGTTTGCAGAGAGAGGCTGCCCTGAGAGAAGACGATCAGAGAAGGAGAATGCTACTCTGTTGCAGCCATGTTGGGAAGAGAGGCGTTTGGGTCACAGGGACCCCCCCCCCCCCCACACACACACAAAGCGTTTAATGTGGCATCTTGAGAACAGGCTCCTCATTTCGTTAGAGGGATCCCTAGGAAAGGACAAGCAGGCTCGCTTGCTCGCTTACTCTCTTGCTCTTCTGTCATGGGATGCTGGTAGATGCTGGATTTCCCAGCCTCCAAACCGTGAGGAACGAACTTCTGTTCCCTCTGTTACCGCGTCCTAGGCAGCACCCAACAGACGGAGACAGAGAGAGCTCTACTGCATCTAAAGGAAAAGGGGACATGTTAGCGTGGGCTCCCTACAGGCAGCAGGCCTATCTAATCGCCGCTTCCCCAGCGCCTAGAAAACAGTGGGCACGAAGTCAGGCAAACTGGAGGAGTGGATGGATGGTGGCAAGCGCTGTCATTACACAAGCAGGCTGTCTCCGATGGCTAAGAGGCTACAGATGCTGACAGTGACATCAGAGATACCCTATCAGGAACCTGACACCTCCGGACTCGGACCTCAGCTCTCCTAAGAAGGGTGTGGGGAGGTGGTTATTAATGGGGGTGTCTCCCCTGCATTACAGCAGAGAATACTGATTGGCTGGAGACTCCTGCGAGTCGCCCTATCGCCTTGGCCACCCACCCGCGCAAAGTAGCATTTCCATTGCCCAGCGGAGAAAATCTATGTAGGTTCTCCCAGGGACTAGGTCGCTCCTTGGCTCTCAGCGTCCAGCACCTGACAGGCAAGGCCAGAGGGGTGATGCATCAACACAGTCATTATACGAAGTTACCTTACTAGCTAATTCGGCAGAGCCAGTATCAACAGGTCCACTAGCCTGCCTGCCTCGCCCGGCGGCCGTACAGCAGCGCTCCCGGCGCGAGGACGCATGCGCAGCTGGCGGAGCGGCCCCGGCTCGCGCAAGCGCGCTGTGGCACCGCCCGCAGCTGCCGGTGGACAGCCGACGCATGCGCAGTCGGCGCAGCATTAAGGGCGGCGGCGGCGGCCCTGGGCGGCCCAGTCGGCTTGTCAGCCGGCTTGGAGACGCTGTCCGGCGCTTGCGCAGCGGCGGCCATGGCGTCGGAGGAGGAGGAGGTGGACTCGGCGGACACCGGCGAGAGGTGAATGCGGCTGGGGAACGGAGGGTGTGGAGTGTGGGGCTGCGTGGGTCCCCAGCGCGCGTCCTCCGCACGGGCAGGGGCCCGGCCCAGTGGGCAGCACCGAGAAGCGCTTGGCGACGTCTGGCCGCTGCCCGACGCGAGCCCGCGAGCCGGGAGGAGAAGCCCCGCGCGGGCACCTTCAAGCGCCGGGCTTGTCTGCGGCCGCCTGGGCCGCCCACACCGGGGGGCTGCCCTCGTGCGGTTGGGTAAAGCCGCCCCGAGGGGCTGGCGGCGAGGTGACCGCGACGTCCACACCCGCGCTGGCCCTCCGCCCCGGGGAACCCCGGGTGTGCCCCGGTGACCCCGCACCTGACTGGGTGGCCCGGAAATGGCCGAGGCGCTTGGCCCGCCTCGGAGGAGCTGGGGGCGTTAGTGGGCGCTGTCTCTGTCCAGCCTCCGAAAGTGCCCTGGGGCCGGGGTGGAGGGCTAGGGGCTCGGTGGGGAGTGGGCGCCTGGCTCGGCGTACGGGCGGCGCGGACTGATAGAAAGTTGACACTTGGGAGCGGATAACCAGCTCAGAAGGGATCATTGATCTTTCAGAAGTAGATCAGCCTCCCAGCTCCGCCTTGCCTTTTTAAAAATTTTATTTATTTAATTAATTAACTTATTTTGTGCCCCTGTTGTGGTTCTGTCTGGAGAGGACGACGGGTACGTGAAACTGTGAAAGTTGAGGGTAGGTCCTGAGTTGGGATTAACTCCAAGCACTTGTTAGCAGGAAGCGTTAGTGGAAAAGTTAAATGGCTGTGAAGGTCCTTGCCTTGTTTGCCAAGGCTGCTCGTGTATATTAGGGGAGGGGGAAAGTGTGGACCCCCCCCCCCCCGCCCCCGTGCGTGTTTCATATGTAGACAGCACTTCGGCTTCAGATGTTTGAAGAAGCAGCTTGCATAGGCAGCCTGACCTGATAGGATGCATGGTAGGAACAGCGAAGACAGGGATATTTGGAAAGACGTGGGGAGGCTTACGAATGGTCAGTCGCCAGGGTCTTCCTCTGAGTTTTGTTTTATGGTGAATGGGTCCGTTGTTTTGGTTTGTGGGTCACTGCCTTGTTCACTGCGGGTGGGATGCTGAGTGTGGCCTAGATGCGAGCAGGAGCCTTCGTGGTAACTTGTGTTCCCATCTGGTTTGTCAAAGACGGCGTTGGCTCTTTCCAGAAGAGTGCTTCGAGGGGAACTCTTTGGTCTCCATGTTGTTGTGAGTGTTGGGCGTCCAGGATATCACTGGGAACGGGGTTTATGGCTTTGGGTGACGGTTGCAGGTCACTGGAGGCAGATTGTGCAAAATCATTAGCATGTAACCAGCTGTCCCTAGACAGAGGTGGGCCTCCCCGGTGGTGGTGGCTGTGCACTTGAGCAGGGTCCGGTGTCCATACTGGTTATGGCCTCCTGAACTGTCCCACAGGCAGACAGGGAAGACTAAGCTCTAGCCCCTGCTGGATGCTGCCCAGACATTTCCATGTTGAACCTAAGGGGCAGCTTGTGCCCCGGATACTCTGTTCCCATTTTGCAGTTGGAACTGCTTCCCAAGTCGTGGCGCTGGCTGGATTGGAGTCCTTTGGCTGTCTGAATTCAGGCCGAGGCATTTCCCCCATATTTCTGCAGCCTCTCATTTGGATTAGAACACAGATGTTCGGCTCTTGTTTTGAATCAAGTTCCCCGTCCTTAAGACATTTTGGGTTTAGATGGGGATGTGATGTTAGCAAAGGGAACAACTGTAAAACAGTTATTTGCAGCATATAATTCTTGTGTATTCCCTTGTGGCTCCTAGTGAAGATGGGCATTCCAGGGAGCGTTTGACTTTCAACATCCAAGCTCCTAGAGTTGCTAAATGTAACCAGAATAGTTTAGACTTCTGTGAATTGTTGTAAGCTTATCCTAGAAAATGGTGAAGACATTTTTGTCATCCAGAGTCACAACTGTGCTGTCACCTTTTCACAACCCTCACAATTTTATTGCCCAGAATACCAGATGTGTTACTAAGTTCAGCAGACTCTAAGCTGAGGACTCCTTTCCAGTTGAGTTTAAAGGGAAATTGTCACAGAATTGCTCATTTGCAGGGTAGACAAAAGAAGAGGTCGTGAGCTGGAGTTGATTTGTACCAGAAAGCCATTGCTAAAATTTTCAGTAATTTTTTTCAACCTTTGGCAGCTTGAAATTGGCCATGGTATTTATACCAAAGAAATCATCAGGTGCTACAAATAAGGTATAAAGGATTCTCTCTCTCTCTCTCTTTTTTTTTTTTTTAAATCAAGATCTTTATCTTCCTTCCTCCTCCCCTTCTGAAACCCTTGCCTTCTTAAAACCTGACTTGTTAAACAAAATTTTTACAAAATTTCAGTGCTGTACCCCACTGGCCTTTTGTTTTTCTCAGTACTTAACTTTCCTGGGTCCTGTTCAGTGTTAGATACTGTAATGATAGCGGCTTCCTTTTTGAAACTTTTATTGGACATTCCAGCCCTTCAGTTTTCCTTCTTACCTTAGACAAAGAGTCACTTTTATTAGATTCTCTTCTTTTCCTGTTTCTGAGTATAGCACTTCGTCCTTGGTTTTGTTGTGTTGTTATTCACACTCCTTGAACTGCTTGTCTGTGAACGGGACTGAGATCTCGTTTGCTTTCCGAATCTCTTCTGTACACGGTGATGCTTCTGTTTGTCAGGTGTGTTTACACCTGATTCCTCAAACTTCACGCGTCTAGCAGCTGCCTTGGGCCTTCCCTCCAGCAAAGTAAACAGCACAAAAAGCTCAGCTCTTCCGCTGGATTTTTCTGTTTTTATCAGGGCAGTTAACCTTTTTGTCATCCAGAGTCACAACTGTGCTGTCACCTTTTCACAACCCTCACAATTTTATTGCCCCAAATACCAGATGTGTTACTAAGTTCAGCAGACTCTAAGCCGAGGACTCCTTTCCATGCCCACTTTGAGCTGGGAGCCACCCTGGTTCCCCTTCCATAGTTCCACCCCTGGGTTCTGGCAACATGGATAACACGCCTTCAGCCATAGCTCAGTTCATCAGTTGTTTGACATTTCCAGGAGGCACAGCCTGGTTTACAGCACAGCTACACGCAGTGTCCTCACACACAGTGGCCTTATGGTATGTCAGTAGTCTGACTTCAAAGCCCTTTGTAGCAGTGTGACTCCCATTAGGCTTTGGAGTCTTTTTGACAGGTAGAGTTATAAACAGAATGAAAGGTCTTCCTTCCTCCGTTGGTTCACTCCCCAAATGGCCACTACGGCCGGCGCTGCGTCAATCCGAAGCCAGGAGTCAGGTACTTATCCTGGTCTCCCATGCGGGTGCAGGGCCCAGACACTTGGGCCATCCTCCACTGCCTTCCCAGGCCACAGCACAGAGCTGGACTGGAAGAGGAGCAACTGGGACTAGAGCCCGGCGCCCATATGGGATGCCGGTGCCGCAGGCGGAGGATTAACCAAGTGAGCCATGGCGCCGACCCCAGGCTTTGGAGTCTTAATTCATCCCTGAGCACTCTAACCTGAGCCAAGCTGTATCTCGCTTGGTTCCTCAACAAGTTCCTTGCTCACCTCTGGTATGACTTGGCTTATGTTGTTTTCTCTAACTTAAGACAGATGGTGATCTCCCTTCTCTAAAGGTGCATAGTAGTTCTCTAAACTTTCTCTGTGGTGCGTACATCAGTATTTCACCATATAGTTCTATATTGGCTTGGTCGGCTCAGTGTGGACAAGGCTTTTGTCTTATTCAGATGTCTGTATAAATTTATGCTGATGCAAAACATAAGGATCAAAAATCCAGTAGTTGATTATATGAGAGTACTATGGAAAATTTGTGAAATTGAAAGGTTATTTTGATGAAAAAAATTTTGAAACCAGTGCATAGTTTTTTCATAATCCATGTTTCTGTGAGCTTTGACGACACTGGGTACATTTTGCAGCTGTGTTGAAAAGGACACCAGTTAGGATCATGAACTACATTGTACTGCAGAGATTGGGAATAGGATTGTTTTTCTTGACCCTGGATGAACTCACTGTTTTTGCCTGCTGTCCAAAATGCCAATCACAGGCCAGCAGATGCAGAATTCAGTCCTGTGACAAAGAACTTAACAAAAGATTCCAAAGTCCCAGGACTGGTCCACTTAATTAAAAAAAAAAAACCTGAATTATACATTTTAGGGTGATAGATGTCTCTAAATGAGGCTTTAAAGATTTGACCTATATTACTTAAAATCTTTTCTGAAATATTATATTCGTTTAAAAATAGCTTTGACTAATTGGTACAGTTTTTAGTCTAATATCATTGTTCTGTAATTCCCCACCCTTGATTGTGTTTTATAAAAAAATGTGATTTTATTAAAAATATTTCATTTGAGACCATGTGTTTTTAGTTTTATTGTCTTCATCAGCTAGTGGTAGAATTTGTTTTACAACTGACACAAAGAAAAACACAAAGAAATGTGGGTCTGCGTAACAAAGCAAGGGCAGCCTAAAGGTACACATGTACTTCAAGTATGTTTCCAGAGTGTTTGTTTACAGTGCAGTAGGAAATAATTGGGGGAAATATTGCCAGCACCATGGCTTGTCTTAAAGCAATGATTTTCCTTTTCTGAGTCTTTAAAGTTATAGGTTAGAAGTGGGGGGAGGCGGGGTTAAAAGACTGTTAATTAACATTTTAAAATGTATTAGTGGGCCTGTGTTGTCATAGATCTCATGGTCAGTGATAACTTGTCATAAAAGTATGATTTATCCAAAAGAAATGGCATGTTAGCTATTTAAATTGTAATTATTTGAGATATAGTCTTTTTTTTTAA